TAAGCTCTTCCAGTATGTATAAAATTTTTTGCTCTTGCCATCTCATTGGCTGAGTTTAAACAGAATAAGTGGCTACAAAAACTGTGCTAAAATTGAAGGTAATTACTAATGATTCTGAGTGCATGAGTATTCTGTGGATTCCTCTGGGATTTCTTAAAAGCTTCTCTTTCATCTACTTAAACTGACTAAGATTTAGGAAGTCAATTTTTATTCGGCTATTTTCCTAAACCTAGATAACCAGTAAAATTTTTTAAATTTATTTTTAAGGATTAAGAGAAGTAAATATGAAAATTTTAAACATCCCATTTTTTCTGTAGTTGAACAACAATAAAAATAGGAAAAAAAGAATGGTAGAGCAGAAAAAAAAAGAGGTTTACTTTCTGAAATAAAAAAAGTCCATCTCTTCTCCAAATACTGTATAATTTGAGGGATGAAAAATGCTATTTTATTACATACATATTAATAATTATTCTGAATCCAAATAAACTAAAATGTGTATAATATAAATAAAATAAAATAAAATATATATGCCTTTAAAGTAGTTCTTATGTCATGGATGTCAATGATATCCTTTTAAACTGTAAAAAATAAACTGGCACATATTTTCAATAACCTAGTATCCCAATGCTATACAATGTGAATTCACTTATTAATCGTGAAGATGAAATCAGGTGTTATAAAGGAACATACCAATTTATATAGTCAGGTGATTTTATTTTGTGAATAAATATGAAGTACCTTTTAATGAACAATGAAATAACACATTGGATAATGTTTAGAAATATTTTATAACAATTGACAAATCAGTAAATTGCATTACAGAGATCTTTTGTGGTCAGTATACTTTCCTATGGATTAACGCTTTGGAACCATACAATGATCCTTTTGAAAAACCAGAACAAGTGTATTCATCCCATCATGTGAACAGGAGAAGCACGGCAGTTCAGATATGTTAAGCAACTTGCTCAAGGTATAAACTTGTAAGCAATGGAGCCTAAACTTGGACTCAGGTTATTTTTAAAGTTTTCAATAAACCAAATACTAAAGGAAGGAAAAGATCTTTTTTTTCTTAACGAAAGCCCAGACTTTGTTTTCCATAAAATATTTAAAATGACAGCATACCATATTGTCATTATTATAATATTATAACTTTGTAATCATGAATAATGACAAAACACCAACTATTAATCAAATACTACAAAAATAATAATAATGTACAATAGATCATCCAAATTAACAAAACCCATTTTTTGCCTACCAAATATCTATTAATATCATTCTAAAAGACCCCTAAAGCCCTTTAAACTCCTAACTATAAGTAGAAGTAAAAGTAGCCATTTAAAATCTTGTGGCCATGTAACTGTGCACATCTGAATAAAGTAAGAACTATAACTTTTTTAATATAGTGAAAATTTTTTGATATTTGCATTTCAATTAGTAGCTGAAATTAAAAAAAAAAATAATTCAAGATTACAAAATCACTGCTGCCATTAGGTTCAGTATTTATATTTTAAACTTTACCATTAGGTTCAGTATTTATATTTAAACTTTATATTTAAACTTAAATATTTTCTCTTTCTTATATTATTCCTCTCTCTGCTCTCTATGAACAGTTTAATTTCCAGAAGTTTACCCATCACCTGCATTGGACAAATAGCCATTGCTTTGAATAACTTTTTCTAACCACTCTCACTTTGGCTTCATGGTGATTGGTTCCTCTAGATTCTGGTTATCATCGTGTGCTGACAATTATCAACAACACTCTCAGTTCTTCTGTAGTCCTGTTCTGTGAGTCTGCACCTGCAGTATTATCCAAATCCAGCTCTTAGCATCTTCTAGTTTGCCAGTCCTTTTGAATTCCATTTGAAAATGTAAGCATTACTTTAGACCAGGGGTGTCATGATGGGGAAACAGTCCTACAGTGTCCGTGTCATTATGGATGAAATCCGACATTCACACGAATTACTGAATCTGGTGGAGAAAAAGGGACAACAAGGCTTTTCTCTCAAAGGGAGCAAAAACCTTGGCCCTTGCCATTACTGGCCTTTATTGGGTTTCTCAGCACATTACATGATGGTGATCATTTACTAGGCACAAGTTGCTTTAGGTGATTACCTTTTACAGAAAACATCACGGAGGAGGGATATTTGCAAATGAAAAAGTAAAAGTGGTTGAACAGGTTACACTAGTCCTTGGAAGGTTTATCATGGATTTTAGGAAGTTATTTTTTAGTAAATGTTGTGACAAATCTGGGTGAAGGAGTGTTTAGCAAAAAGCAAAATTCAAAGCAGCCTAGGCACATTGCAGGCCTGATTACCCGAGGGAAAACCTATCTGTAGGCTTGGGTCCTGTGGATCTCCGAGTGGGACCTGGGCCCACACCACTCAGAACAGTTTCCTACAGTGTCAAACTCATTTTCATGGAGTTGGGGGGGGGGCACATCGGCCTCACCATGGCCTTCAAAGGGCCTAATGCAATGTTAGGACTGTATAAATGTAACTAGTCCTTAACTAGGGGACTTTGCCCCACGGGCCTGTACTGGCCACCTGTGTTTTAGATTTACTTGTAATATTCCTCTAAACTTGATTTTTTAAAAACCTCTCCTGTGCTGATGTGATGATTCCTTTTCAAGTACTCACAAGAGCCTAAATTATAGTCATATTCCTTACAATACTTTGCTTTTTTTCAGATTGGTCAAAATCTTCTTTCTCTTTGGAAAGGAAAATAATTTTTTCAGTTGTCACATACTCTGCACTCTTACACAGTTTATGTTTTATAAGCCATGCCCTCAGTCATATACCTTCCATTTTATCATCAGTATATTTTTAAAAAGATTTTTCTTTAGTAAGTGCAATCAAAAGCAATGGCTTTCAAGGTAATTCTGTTTTTTTTCAATGTGTGATTTCATTTATAAATTTAATCTTTATTGTATTTTCCCATTACCATTAATCCCCTTATATCCTACCCCCTCAATCACCACACTATTGTAGTCCTTGAGTCCTTTTTCCTCAATCCCTCCACCCATAACCTCCCCGCCTACTAACTGTTATCCAGCTCTCCATATATGAGTTGGTTCCTACTTTCCTTGTTAGCTCAGTTTGTTCATTAGATTTCACATATGAGTGAAATCATACCGTATTTGTCTTTCTTTGACTGGCTTACTTCACTTACCATAACGTTCTCCAGGTCCATCCATACTGTCACAGAGGGTGAAATTTCTTCTTTTTTATGGCTGAATAGTATTCCATTGTGTAAATGTTCCATAGTTGTTTTATCCATCCATCTACTGATGGACACTAGGGATGCTTCCATATTTTGGTGATTGTGAATAACGCTGCAATGAATATAGGGGTGCTTATGTTCTTTCAAATTAGTGTTTTGAGTTCCTTTGGTTATATTCCCAGAAGTGGGACAGCTGGGGCAAAAGGCAGATTCATTTTTAATTTCTGGAGCTGTCTCCATACTGCTTTCCACAGGGGCTACACCAATTTGCGATCCTACCAGGAAGGCAAAAGGGTTCCTTTTTCTCCATATCTTTACCAGCACTTGTTGTTTGTAGATTCATTGCTAATAGTGATTCTGACAGGTGTGAGATGATACCTCATTATGGTTTTAATTTGCATTTCTCTGTTGATTAGTGACATTGAGCATCTTTTCATATGTTTATGGACCATCTGTATGACCTCTTTGGAGAAGTATCTATTCAGGGCCCTTTCCCATTTTTAATTGGTTTATTTGGTGCTGAGTTTTGTAAGTTCTTTATAAATTTTGGATATTAACTCCTTATCAGATGTATCTGCAAATATGTTGTCCTGGTCTATGGGTTGTCTTTTTATTTTGCTGATGACTTCCTTTGCTGTGCAAAAACATATTTAGTTTCATGTGGTCCCAAGTGTCTATTTTTCTTTTGTTTCCCTTGCCTAAGGAGATATATTTGATAAAATATTGCTATGAGCAATGTCCAAATTTTTGTTGCCTATGTTTTCTTCTAGGATTTTTATTTTTTGGGGGTCAAACACTTAAGTTTTTTATCTATTTTGAATTTATTCTTGTGTGTGATATAAGAGGGTGGTCTAGTTTCATTTTTCTGAATATATGTGTCCAGTTTTTTCTAATATCACTTATTAAGAGACTAACTTTAGCTTATTACATGTACTTGCATCCTCTGTCAAATATTAATTGACCATGAAAGCATAGGTTTATTTCTGGGCTCTCTATTCTGTTCCATTGATCTATGTATCTGTTTTCATGCTAGTACCATGCTGTTTTTTATTATTATGGTCTTATAGTATAGTTTGGTATTAGGTAATATATTCCTTCAATTTTGTTCTTTCTCAGGATTGCTGTTATTGTGTAGGTCCTTTTATGGTTCCACATAAATTTTTTGAAATATTTGTTCTAGTTCTGTGAAATGTGCCATTGGAATCTTGATAGGAATTGCATTGAATCTATAGATCACTTTGGGTAGTTTGCACATTTGAATGATATTGATTCTTCCTCTCCATGAACATGGTATATGTTCCATTTATTTGTATTTTCTTCAATTTTTTCTGCAGTGTCTTATAATTTTCTGAGTACAGGTCTTTTACAACCTTGGTTAGGTTCATTCCTAAGTATTTTATACTTTTTGTAGTAATGGTGAATGGGATGGTTTTCCTAATTTCCATTTCCATTAGTTCTTTATTGGCATATAAAAATACAGCTGATTTCTGGATATTAATTTTGTATCCTGCTACCTTGCTGGATTAAAAAGTATGTCTACCTACCTGAAAAGAAAGTGCATACAAAAATGTCTGCCTCTAAGAAAAAAGGAAGAGTCAGTCAAACGATGCTCCAAGAAAAGAGAACGGGGAGGAGGGAAGAGACCTCAATTAAAGTTTGAAGTTATTATCCTTCTCCACACATTCTTTCCTCTTATTGTTTAAAAGTTTATTTTATGTTTTGATCAGTAGCAGAATAACCCTTTCATTCCTCTTTTTAAGAAAGTTTACAGACTGGGGAAGGGGCGGTAGGTGCCATGTCTGGCCGCGAAGGTGGCAAGAAGAAGCCCCTGAAACAGCCCAAGAAACAGGCCAAGGAGATGGACGAGGAAGATAAGGCATTCAAGCAGAAGCAAAAAGAGGAGCAGAAGAAACTTGAGGAACTAAAAGCGAAGGCCGCGGGGAAGGGCCCCTTGGCCACAGGTGGAATTAAGAAATCTGGCAAAAAGTAAGCTGTTCTCATGACTGGGACACTGGTGATCCTTCATTCCACTCCTGTATTAACATCTGGATTCCCTGTCATAACATTCTTGCCACCTATAGCTAGAATGAAGTGTTGTCTGGGAGCCCGTTGTACATTTAAGAATAAACTTTTGTAAAAAAAAAAAAAAAAAAAAAAAGAAAGTTTACAGAACAGCCCTGGCTGGTGTGGCTCAGGGGATTGGGCACTGTCCTGCAGACCAAAAGTTCATTGGTTCAATTCCCTATCAGGGCACATGCCTGGGTTGTGGGCCAGGTCTCTAGCTGGTGGCAAGCAAGAGGCAACCAGTTGATGTTTCCCTTACACGTAGATGTTTCTTTCTCTCCATCTCTTCTCTTTCCTGAAAATAAACAAATGAAATCTTTAGAAAATATTTATAGAACACTTGCAAAGTACAGACAGGTGCTCCACTAGATGTTTTGTGTGTGTGTGTGTTCCAACATGAAGACTAGCAAATCTTTGTGTTCATGGTCTTCACAATTTTATTAGAGGTAGTCATGTAAACAGACACCATATTTTGTGTGTATAATGTGCTCCCATGTATACTGCACACCCACATTTTTGGCCTATATTTTCAGGAAAAATCTTACATTTTAATTTTTAATCCAATTTAGGTATTTATATTTAGAAACAAATTTGGTTATTGTATTCCAGGGCATTATTTTCTATATGAATATTATTATTGCTTTCTAGGGTTAAATTTTTAATGCATAAACTAAAAAAAAAGAATTAAAAACACTTATTTGGATATGAAATTAGTACTACCCATGTGTAATGCGTGTCCTTATTTTTCCCTCAAAAATTTGGGCAAACATGTGTGCATTACACACAGCAAAATAGGGTAATTAAAATGTAATATACAGCCCTAGCTGGTGTAGCTCAGTGGATTGAGAGCGGGACTGCAAACCAGAGGATCTCGGTTGGATTCCCAGTCAGGGCACATGCCTCGGTTGCAGGCCAGTTCCCAGCAGGGAACACATGAGAAGCAACCACACATTGATATTTCTCTCCCTCTCTCCTTCCTTCCCCCTCTAAAGATAAAATAAATTAAAAAATTTAAAAATGTAATATATGGAAGGCTATAGCAATGAATAGAGTAAATAATGTTTACAGAGAATTACAAAAGAACTTCATAGAATTGGTCATTTGATCTTGCTTAAGAGATATGAATTAAAATTTCTACAGTATATTAGAAAAAAGTGAAAGAAATAATTATAGAGCTTATTGGACAAGGTCATTATTGTATGGTTAGAATTTCTGTGTACCCCTGTGTAATTTCTCTGTAATTTTATTTGTATAAATATTTATTTATTTACCCCCCAAATAAAATGCAATTGATTTTTATTTATTAAATATAAATGTTTTATTTATTGATATATAAATTTTATTTATTGTATTTATTCACCTAAATAATTAGACAATTGTTTACTTTACACAAATCTACACAGAAAGAAAGAAATAAAAGTGAAAGAAATTTTGCACTTTATCAGAGACTCAGTGATTTTAGCATTAGAAATCTCAGATTAATGAATTATGAGTAAATTAATCTACATAATCCTAACACACTATTTTTGATAATTTACATTGTTCTGCTAGCATGAATTGATCTTTTTTGTCTATATTACAGCATTAGTTTGTCAATTCATTCAAATTGGCTACTGATTTTTTAAAAATTTTGTATTGTTGTTTAATTACAATTGTCCATTTTTCCCCATTACTCTCCCCTGATAACCTCACCCCCACATCTTCCGCATTAAACCCTCACCTACCTTGCCTTTGTCCTTGGGTCCTTTATACAAGACCCTTGACTTGGCCCTTTCCCTTTTTCCCTCATTATCCCCTCCTTCCAACCCTCTGGTTACTGTCAGTTTATTCTTTATTTTCATGTGTCTGTTTCTACTTTGCTCACTTTTTTTGTTTTGTTGATTAGTTTCCACTTATAGGTGAGATCATATGGTATTTATCTTCCCCATCTGGCTTATTTCACTTGGCAAAATATTTTCCAGTTCCATCCATGCTGTTGTGAAGGGTAGGAGCTCTTTATTTCTGCTGTGTAGTATTCCACTGTGTAAATATACCACAGGTTTTTTGTTCCATTCATTTACAGATGGGCACTTAGGCTGCTTCCACCACTTGGTCATTGTAAATAGTGCTGCTGTGAACATCTGGGTGCATAGGTTCTTATGAATTGGTGTTTTAGGATTCTTAGGGTATAATCCCAGCAGTGGAATTGCTGGGTCAAAAGGCAGTTCAATGTTTAATTCTTTGAGGAAATTCCATACTGTTTTCCACAGTGGCTGTACCAGTCTGCAGTCCTACGAACAGTGTACTAGGGTTCCTTTTTCTCCACAACCTCATCAGCACTTGTTTTCTGACTTGTTTATGATGGCCATTCTTCTGATTAATTGACTGTTTAAACCTACTGTCTTTATCAGGTTGCATGACAAACAGAAAATATCAAATTGTATGTTTTATAATAAAGGTAGGAATTTGTTATCAAGTTTTATATTTCTTATTAAGGATATACTTATAGATATCTTAAAAACAAAATGTTTACATTTTTACATAGCATTTTCAATTGAATTTTATAATACTGTAATATAATTGAGGAAAATATTTTTGACTCCACTTTACTGATAAAAAAGATGAAGGCATGTCAAGGTTAAGTGACTATCGACTGTATGACTGCTAATAAATGACAAATCTAGGAATTGAACCCAAGGGCTGATGCCTCCAAATCTATTACCTTTTTCCTCTAGTTTAAATGTTGAGGAATGGAATATTGTATAGAGATAAATGTTTGAGCCATCAAAAGTTAAAGCTAATCCAGGACATGAAGAATTAATTTTTTTCACAATATAAATAATTCTTTACCTTAATTATTATAGTTGGCATAAAATTTCTAACTTTATGGTTTGTGAATAGTTAAGGCATAATTATGATCTTGAACAACATTATTGGAAAAAGGTATTAACCAAAAATGTCATCAATCATTATCATTAAGTTTCTCTAAAATTAACTAGATACATATCTATGGAACTTCATGTGAGGTTCCCCACAGTGTTAGCTAGCTGATGTAAAATTCTGAGGCCCATGTTCATGTATACTTAGCCAGTTTAACAAAAATATTTACTGAAGGACATACACATGACTGTTACTTTTGGAGAGGGAAAGATGAAAGATGAATTTTGATTATTCAAAATGTTTTCTTCCTTTCCTCCTTCCCTACCTTGCTTTCTTTCTCTGTGCCACAAGCATTCATGGAATGCCCACTCAGTATGTGCCATATTGCACCAATATAGATAGTAAACAATATCTAAAATATGGTTGATTTCCTGACAAAGCTCATGGTCTAGTGATGGATAATGTGTTTCCATGTATTAAATAATTAGAAAATCACATTGTAAACTGTGAATTTATAACTAGAAGTGTAGCCATGTACAATATCAAAAGTAGATGATTAGTTTAATTTGTTAATTGAATTAGAGCAGAACCAGCAGATATACCTCTATGGATACACGAGAGGAATAAACCTGGTGGAACTGTGGCACCCTGGGGGTCACAAGTCCTGTCTAGCTGTGTTCTTTACCCTGAGCATTTTAGAATAGTACTAAGTAGAAACTCAAGTTCAACACTGTGAAATTACCCCCTCTTTTTTCCAGGAATCCGGATATTAAAGTTATTGTGTGAGATTTCTCAGTTTTTTAAGATGACAAATCAATTAGGCTTTTGGAAAAGATCATGTGAGCAAAATAAAATAATCATGGCCCTCAGTCGCAAACCCTTTTAAAAATCTGCATAAGCATAGGAATTATAACTTCATCTCATTTTTTAGCAAGAACAGTTAGAACAGGTGTGATAAAAAGTGAACTTGTTTCTGGACCTGGGAAAATTAATAAGCTATGAATTGAGAAGTAAAACAATGAAAAGAAGAGAAGAGCAGGGGAGAAAAAGAAGGAGTAGAGGAAGGAAGGGAAGAAAAAGATGAAGAGAGTAAAGGGGAAATAAATGGTGATGGAAGGAGACTTGATTTGTGGGTGGTGAACACACAATATACCACACAGATGTTATATTATAGAATGGTACACTTGAAACCTATATCATTTTATTAACAATGTCACCCCAATAAATTGAATAAAATTTAAAAAATACAAAAAAGGGAGGGCAGGAAAATCTCTTTGTTCAATTGTGGCAATGGCTACATTTTCACCCTCAAATGTATTAAAAGAGGAAAGAACGTTTGTGTAACTTTTTTTAAAAGTCAACTAAAGAAACACGTTCAACTTGCATTTTCTTATGGGTGGTTAACAGATGTTTCCCCAAGTTATTGCGTTTACTTAAGTGTCAGAGGCTGGACATTTGTGTATAAAATCTCTCTTTAGTCAAAAAGAAGCAAATTAGAGGGATCTCTTACCAGTGTAAATATTTCAGACTGTAATAAGCTCCATAATGCCCTGACATAAATTGCTTGGCCAGAACACATTAACTTGTTCTCTCTAATTTCAGTAACAGTAGTATTTTCTTTCTTGAGTTTGAAATAACAAATCACACTTAACAAAAAAAATTCTCTGAATCTGAGAATCTTTTAAAACTCTGCCTCTTTAGCATGTGAGCCTCATTCCTAAGTAGTTAAATGGCAGACTATTAACTTTGTTTTTCCTTCCTTTGAGTCATAACTTGACTTTCAAAACAGTTTGGTCAAGCAGACTCAAAGTCTCCTCGCAGAAGCAACATTGAGGCATCCTGTACTTCCCTGGCTTTACAATTCCCCTTCAGGGCAGGGCACATACAAGTGACCCTGGCTTTTGACAAACCTTAGCTGAACAAAATGTAACAAGCCCTGTCTGTTTTGAGCTGAATTTTCTGTTCTGACAGATACAGCTCAGGAGCATTTGATGTCTGCTTGCTGGTCATAGATAATGGTGCATCTTGGGACCACTGTCATTCCTGTCAATAAGAAGGCCTGGGGGGACATGCAACAAAGCTACCTTTTGATTCACCGTTTTTCTTTCCTTCCCAAGACATTTGTAAGCCTGTGGTCAGCTAGGTCATTTTATTTTATCCTGATGTGCCTTGATAATAGCGTGGTGTCTACAAAATTTTGACAGGCCATCGATGTCTGTTTCTCTTACT